CTTAGTTATTGGACGTGTTTCAGGTTCAGAATGAAAAGATATGAGAGCAAGTCCAGCCTCACCTGTAGACAGATGAGTCTTATGGTGTCACTCTTGGCGTATACTCGATGCGAACGTCAACTGGTGTTGTAGTCAGCCAATCTTTGAGGAATGCGAATGTATCCTAATAAGTTCTCTAATTTTGTCTTCAATTTTCATCCTTTCTTTTTGGTCCCTCACTTGGGATAGGGAAAAGGAAACAAGAAAGTCCGGCATTGAACCTTAATCATCCGTTGAATGTGGAAAAAGCTTGTGACGGTTGTGGTCCCTCACTTGGGATAGGGAAAAGGAGTTGTATGTTTTCTGGCATCCTTTGTTCTCTATGATTCTCCATATGTACCTAAGGATATAACTGCAAAAATTGTCAAATAAAGTAATAAACAACACCCAGTTATCTCCTCAGAAGTAGTACACTTGTTGATTTCCTTCTTCTCCCAATATGTAATGGAGTATTTTCAATTTCGACACCAAATGTATTTTTCATTATTAGGTTAGGCTACAAAAAGATAACTAAAACTTGCAATATTTTTGTGTTCTGTGGTTAAAGTAATTTCAGATCTAATATTTTCTTTATTGTAAACATATTGAGGATAATAATAAACGTGGGTGATAAGGGTATCAGGGGTACCTGGACAATCTGACGACATTCTAGAATCTGGACATTGATCCGGTGCTCGAAGGTGAAGTTCCGCCTGCGATCGGGAATTACAAGACTCTCAAGTCGTGTTATTGTTTCAAGCGCTTGAAAATTAATGTCAACAATCTAGAGGGAAAATAACAATAAAGATAGTATGAAGGATCTTACAAATTGGTGAAAATTTTGAGACTTAACTCCAACAGATAAGGTCAAATTACAGCCCCTCTTAGTTTTTAGTTCCAATAAAATGGTCGATTTTGTGAATTTGTCCTTAATGTTCTCAAATCTGACAAAGGATATGATAGTTTTCTTGTTGTCTGAAGATATTTATATGAGATTCATTACAGCTTATATGTGGGGATATTATATTTCTTCTCTGTTTTGTTTTTGTTCTTGAATCCTTTAACATTATTATCTTCATTCTGTGAAGGAAAAAAATATTGTCACTTGGGAAAAAAATAAAGAGAAATTGATTCTTGCTTTTCTAATCTTTAGTCAATCACCCTTGGGGATTTGAAATGTAAATGGAGTTACTCTGCCACATTATTCTATATAAGTTCTTATACAATTAGCAGAGGTTGAGAAGTAGTGCGTAGAGAGTTTGCAATACTTATGCCGTCGTCTGACCTCTCCATTTCAACTTGAGACATATTATCCTGTCATACGTCCTATTTCGCAATTCTGAAAGGTCCGTCCACTGAATGAGCTGCCCATATAAAGTGGTCACGTGCACTTGCTCCAGATCGTGCCGCCAAAAGTAGGGCTCGGTCCCCAGGCTCATGTTTGCAAGCAAGATGTTGAACTGAAACTCTGAGAGCCGGTGGTTGTTCCGGTCCGACTGGCTCAAGTGCGCACAACTCCATATAGTCCTCGGTCGACCAACACGAAACAAACCATTCGTAAAGCCCGAGTGCCAAGATGCCGTTCGACTTTCAGAAGTACTAAATGTCAAGTTCTCTATCACCACAGGCGGCTCGTCACTGAGAAGACGACTGCTGTCAACAGCACCCCATGGCATGTCCAGACAGCCGCTGTTCATCTTCAGAATCAAAGAAATCCGAAACCCACTTAGTGCCTTGAGCAATCTTCTCAGCTTAAGAAACCACGAATTGACATCGAAATAGGGATTTTCCTCACCCGAAGAGAGGAATACTCGTGAGGAGCACTTCTTGGAAGTAGTTGTCGCAACAGAGAATGTGTCCGGCACCTGGTGAATACGGGCAGTGAAATTAATAGTGATAATGTTCGGGGCACAAATCATAGCTCCTTTAAGCGGTATTTTGTTTGTCAAGATGCTCAAGAACTTGACTGAATCACTTGCAAGATGGAATTCCTCGAAACCGGAGCATTCAATTAGGGTCAAGTTTTCAAGAGTCGGGCAGCGGAACGACAACAAGTCAAACGACTCACTTGACAGGATCACACTATTGAGATACAAACTCCTGAGACGAGAGAACAAGAATGCGCTTTGGCGGTGAGACCAAATCCATGGGCCCCTTATGGACACTGTCTCGAGATTCGGGACATCGATTTCGATGCTACGCCCTTCAATAATCTTGAAATCATTCAAAACAAAGTGCTTGAGCCCAGGCGCCTCGCTCACCCTAATGTTTCTCAATTCCCTACAACTATTAAGGACCAGGCGCCTGAGCAAAGGGCATCCCAACGCTTTCGTCTCCAAAGTCCCGCCATCAACTTGGACATATTCGAAGGTGAGTGTGCGCAGACATTTTAACCGCATGCTCTCAACCGGGCTCAGCTTGCATTTGCACAGATGTAGTTCTTCGAGGGACTCGGATAAGAAGCCTGCCGAGGGCAGGTTGTAATAGGGCTGAGGATATGAAAGGAAGTTGAGTTTGAAAGCTTTTATGTTGAGGGCGGCTATTATCGGGATCCATTTGTCGAGAAGGGAGATGACCGGTAGTGAGACGGGCCTCGATAAGCGGAGATGGAGTTTGTGTATGAAGAGGTTTTGATCAAGGTATCCTTGTAGGATTCGGTTGACTACGGAGACAAAGGTTTGGTGTGTACTGTTGAAATTTTTTTCGTAAGAGTTGAGGTTGCGGCGAGTTAATCGTGTGGAGCGCCTGACGGAGACAACCTTTTCTTGTGTGTTGACGAACCATTCTTCGTAGAATTCGAGGTTGGGGCGGGTTGATCCTATGTGGCGCCATTGTTTGGAGAGGAGACAAGTTTTCACAGCTTCTTTCTGAGAGAGGAAACAGAGGATGTGGTGACGTATGGGTATTGGTAGTTGCGATACTCTGTCGTCAATGGCTGCGGACAAAGCCTCCTCTGTTTCAGCCGTCTGCCTTTTCTTTTTCATAGTCATAGGCGAGAACGACTTTGTGGTCTGGTGAATGAATTAACCCTAATGCCGGTTAATGTTAATAAAAAAAGGGCAATGGGCCTTCGTAGCGTGATATATGAAAGTGGGCCAAATATACATCATTCTACTTTTAATTTTTTATTTCCGAACAAAAATAAACTGTATGGAGAAAATTAAACTGTATGGAGAAAATTACTTCATTCATATATAAGTGTTTTATTTTGATTGCAGATGTTCTTTAGTATTTATGAATTATTGATTTTTAGTTTATGTTTATTATTAATTTCTAACTTGCATAAACTATATGGAGAAAATTAGTCCATTGATTTTTTAATATATTTTTAGATTTTTAATTTATAACTCATTTATAAATAATATATTTGCGACTTGAAAGGGAAAAAAATCACGTGACACACCATCAATAACACGTTGAATACAAAATCCTTATCCCACAGTTTCTTTGTTTTTATTTGGGTTCCCAGTTTCTTTGTTTTTATTTGGGTGTATTGCATGGCTATTGATTTTAATTTGTTATAACTTATTTTTGTATCTTCCTTTGATTTTGAACAGGTGAAAGCAGCTTCGTGAGACACATTTCGGATGCTTCATAAAAAAATCATTATATTAGAAAATGAATAAAAATCCAACAAAGAGAAAAAAAAAGCGCATGTAACTAAATTTAACTAATGTAGTCAAGGAAATAAACTAAAATCACTAAAAAAAAATTATAAATAAAACAAAAATTAAGATTTAAAAAAAAATCGGTTAAAAAAAACACCATTATCGATATTAAGTAGGAGATGAAGTGGTAAAAAAAAGGATAAAAGATTATGTATACAAAAATTAAATTACATAGTTTATTTGAAGGGCAAATAAGTTAATGAAGCATTAATTTTATCAATTAACCAATGCAACAAATAACAACTTATTATATCCTACCATGCTTATCTTGTGTCATTGTACAACAAACTAAGACATGTATCTTATCTACAAGATAATCGACATCTAGATAAAAATTATCTAATTCCGTATTTAATTTTGTTATACCACAAATACCTGAACCGCTCGACCGCCCCTCTCGAACTCGATTGCGCTCCCTTGATCGTCGGTACCTGCAAAACACGCCGGGGGTGGTCCCGGCGTGGACACTCCGACGCTCAAGTCAGTGGTGGTGTTTCGGAGAGAAAGCGATAGAGTAACGAGATAATATGTGTATGTGTATTGTGTAAAATGAATGGACATGTTCCCTTTTATAGGTGAGGTCATGTATGGGTTGAAGAGTTCTTATCGACCCAGAAGTCTTCCTTGTGTTTATCTCTAATCTGGGTCAGACATATCCAAAACACCAAAGTCCTCATCACCACAACTTCTTTGTGACTCGACCATGAAGCCACCTCCAGACTCTGGTCCCCTCGGCTGAACCCTCTGGCCAAGGTGCCTAGGTGCCGAGGCGCCTAGCTGCCGAGGTGCCTAGCTGCTGAGGTGCCGAGGCGCCGAGGTGCCGAGCTGCCGAGGCGCCTAGCTTACCAACCTTTGGTACTCCGCCTAGCTAGTCCTCGCCTAGCTCCCATTGGTACTCCGCCTAGCTAGTCCTCGCCTAGCTCCCATTGGTATTTCGCCTAGCTAGTCCTCGCCTAGCTATTTGAACTCCGCCTAGCTGACCTACCTTTGGTATACCACGGAAGTGCTCATGCCAAGCTAGCCCCTTACCTAGCTCCTATTCAGTGTAAATGTGACTAAACTCGGATTGCAACCGGTCCTCCATGAGCCGCTACTTATGGCTGTATCATCTAGCCCCCCCATTCTTCGGTTGAGCTACAGGTAGTTCAACCGAGAATGTAAATTCTGTGACCCCGGCCATACTTGCGGTATGGATCTTACTTTGTCTGCGACATCCATAAATTAATCATCCTCTTTGGCTAGCAATCACATGCTAAATAGCTCGGCGCGCGAGCCCCGACCGTCCCTAGACAAGCCGACCTACCCGTCGTACAAAGCGCCGAGCCACCTGAGTACTCATGTCGAGCTGTCGCGCCTAATCATGCCGAGCTGCCGGGCGACCACGAGACGAGTGTCGAGCTGCCATAGGACGAGTGCCGAGCTACCACGAGACCCGACGTCGAGCTGCCGAGACCGAGACATCGTGCTGCCCGCATCGACTTGACGAGACGCCCTGCCCGCGTCATCCTGCTGAGCCGAGACGCCGAGCTGCCCGCGTGGAGTTGCCGAGCTGCAGACTTCACGCCGAGCTGCCGAGATGTTGTCTGCGCCGAGCTATTGCGAGCTACCCATGCGGTCGAGCTCCACGGGAGATGCCGAGCTAGAGTGCGCCGAGCTAAAACACGAGGGAGGGCTGCCAAGCGGGGATATGCCGAGCTGCCGAAGGTGCCGAGGACACATGGCGTCCGCACCGAGCTGTCCATGTGGGTGCCGAGCTGTCCTGGCTGACGAGCTTCCAAGCTTGCGCTGTCCATGTGGCCGAGCTGCCGAGCTCACGCTGTCCATGTGGCCGAGCTGCCGAGGGTGTCGAGCTGCGCGGACGCCGAGCTAGCCAGGCCACCCACAATGCCGAGCTGCCGAGCTCGCGTGGGTGCTGATCTATTCGGGCTGACAAGCTGCCGAGCCCCCGCGTCGAGGTGTCTGAGGCGCCGACCAAGCCTACACATGATGGTGCTCGTCGTGTGTGCTTCTTCTCCTTTTCCCTTGTTATTTTTTATTTCATTCACTTATGCACAAAAGGCCCACCTACACAATCACAGCTTGTTTTTTCCTCTTCACTTAAACACGTGTGCCTAGCTATCAAGCACATGTTCACCTTTCTCACCCACCAACATCCAACTTGCTCCCCAAACCTTAATGCCCACCTTAGATTAGATTTCAAATGAATGTCGACAAGTCGCTTCCGCCGACCCATCCTTGGTGGGAGCCAGCCCTGGAGGCCCCTGCGGATGCCGCTGCGGTCCAGGTCGGGATGGAAGTAGAGAAGATCATCGTGCAAGAGGGCACCATACCACCTCCTTAGAGTTATATGTGATTTCCTTTCTTCTAAAGTAGATGTGTCGAACAAACTCTTGTCATTCTAGCTTGTAATCTCGAACTTGTTTTGTCGTATGTTGTCGTATGTTCAATGCATTGTGTTTTTCATTTCCATCTTCCGTGAACTGACTCCACTTAATGCTTTATAACACCATGCTTATAATGCAACGTCTACACATCGCCGCTACCTGTTTCAAGCGTCTCATACTTACATAATTCATTATTGCATGAGTAACCACGTCTTCTCTTTCATGACGAGATTTGTTCACCAAGCCTTGCAAACACTTAGCATCGTGACAATGGGCTTTTGCACCAGCACAATTATTGCTAAGTCTTTCAAGACTTACATACCCAACTTCGTGCGAAGGCCACGCCAAGCCTCAGCTAGGTTTTAACAGGCTTATATCCTACGATTGTCGTCGCCAAGCTCCGCGAGCTCAGGTGGGACTAGTGGGTTTTTGCTCTACGAAGATTGTCGCCTAGCTTCGCGAGCCTAGGTGAGATTTAACAGGCTTTCGCCCTACGAAGGTCGTCGCCTAGCTCCGCGAGCTTAGGGGAGACTGACAGGCTTGCGCCCTACAGAGGTCGTCGCCTAGCTCCGCGAGCTTAAGCGAGACTGACAGGCCGGCGCCCTACAGAGGTCGTCGCCTAGCTCCGCGAGCTTAAGCGAGACTAACAGGTTGGCGCCCTACAGAGGTCGTCGCCAAGCTTCGCGAGCTTAAGCGAGACTAACAGGCTTGCGCCCTACAGAGGTCGTCGCCTAGCTCCACGAGCTTAAGCGAGACTAACAGGCTTGCGCCCTACAGAGGTCGTCGCCTAGCTCCGCGAGCTTAAGCGAGACTAACAGGCTTGCGCCCTACAGAGCTCGTCGCCTAGCTCCGCGAGCTTAGGTGAGACTGACAGGCTTGCGCCCTACATACATTCCACACAAGAAAAGAATCAAACTGATAAAACTTCAAATGCAATCTTATTACTCATCTTGCCGAAATATCATAAAAACAAACGAAAGCAATTAAAATGACATATCTCCAGCTATGCATAATATTTCTTCAAATGTAGTATGTTCCACAGTCGTGGCAACAACCGTCCCTCTATCAATTCAACTTCCATCAGCTCGTCTTGGGAGCTCATCCCCAACTCTTGTTTCTTTTCCCGGTGGGAACACTCAGGTAAGTCATCATTCATTCTTTTGTTCTACGTCTCGGCTGTCTTCAATGTGACCTCATAACACCGCCGAGATTGTAGCTGGTCTCCTGCCACCTCTCCAACCTCATTCCCTACGGGGAACTTGACCTTCATGCAATAAGTTGACACAGCAGCCTGGAATGAGTTCAAGCTAGGCCGCCCCAGTATAATGTTATATGCCGAGCTAGCATCAACGACCAAGAAACGGACCATCTTCACACTCCTCAGAGGTAACCTTCCCAACGCCACAGTCAAACTGACTTCGCCAATGGGGCGAACTTGGCTGCCGCTAAAGCCATAAAGAGCAGTGTGGACTGGCTCGATCTTCACGTCTAACTTCATCTGTTGTAAACACTTCAAGAAAATGATATTTGCCGAGCTCCCTGTATCTATAAGTACCCTTTGCACATCATAGCTAGCCACTTCTGCGGTGATGACCAATGCATCATTATGTGGGACAACAAGACCCTGCACATCTTCAGCTCCAAACCTTAAAGTAGCCGAGCTTACCTGTAGTTGCACCTCGGCCACCTCGTCAACCACTCTTTTCCCTCGGTAAGTCCTCTTGCTTTCCCTATGTGAATCTCCATCCGTAGGACCCCCCGCGATCATGTGTATTATGCCTCTCTTGACTGGCCTGTCAAGTTGCTCATCAGTCCTCCTTCGCTTGTCTCCTGATTCGTACCCTTCGTGGCGATCTTCCTGGCGCTCTTTATCCTTGATCACGAATTCTTTTAAGTGACCAGCCCAAATGAGCTGCTCAATTTCATCTTTCAACTCTCGGCAGAAATTGGTAGAGTGACCATAATCATGGTGGTACCGACAATATCTATCATTTCCTGCTGAAAATTTACGCGGTGGGGGTAGAGGCTTGGGTTGTGCGAGTAATTTGTCCTCCCCCCGCTCTTCCATCATCTCCAGGATCTCCTGCTGCGGCGCATTAAGCAATTTGTAATGCTCATACCTCGGACCCCTAAACCGATCCTCACACGTAGACTCCTTAGAGGTAGCTCGTCGATCACTCTGTCGAGGCTTCTCATCTACCTGCTTAGCCTTTGTTCTGTCATTCTGAATGAAATCCGCTTCAGCCTCCTCCATATTTACATACTTGCTACACCTCTCGAGGAGCTCGTCAAAGGACCTCGCAGGCCTCTTTGCCAGTGAATCCCTACATTTGCCGGGCTTCAACCCCCGCGTGAGACCCCCAGCTTTAATCTCCTCCGAAGCAGAAGGTACCTCCACACACTCCTTAGTGTACCTTGAAACGTAGTGTCGCAGACTCTCCTCCTCCTTCTGCTGCATGTTGATTAATGAGAGATATGTCTTCTCATGCTTCCTAGCACTCGCGAACTGGTTTAAGAACAGGGAATTGAACCTCTCAAAACTGTCA